GTTGAGTAGACTCATTCCTACCATCATCTTGAGCAACAAAACGTGAGAGAGAGAGAGAATTGGAGTGAGAGTAACAAGTTGAAGAAGACTTGGAGGATTTGACTTGGAAACTCACACAATTAGCCAACTAGAGTTCAATTAAGCATCTAAGGTAAACAATCAAGCCTCTAGTCTTGTAATTTAATTGGTTAGTGCATGCATTCAAAGAAATTGGGCCATGAAATGCATAAATTGAACTAAGGAAGCAGTAAAGAAGAGCATCTCATGCATGAATACATAATTCTCATAATTTTGCAAGTTGATTCTAAAAAATTTCCGCATACATGTCCATATATTGGTTTTGTTTGATAAACCCAACATGTTTTTGACCTCAACATCTCATTTGCTCATGATTTGGAAACTTGGAGCTCAAATCACCCTATGCATATCATATTCATTTTATGTTTTCATAATTCAAGTCTGAGTTTACTCAATTGACAAGCTTATGGGCATTAATTTCATGAAATGATCTTTAATTCTCATTGTATTTCAAGTTTAGACATGTTTTCTGGAGTTTTAGCCCAAAAGAACAGGATTTATGGCTTTGAATTTGAGTTTTGATGCTTGAGTGCGAATCTAAAAATTCCAGAATTTTGCTTTCCGCTCGACTGACATAATTTGTGCTCGAGCAACCACTCTGTGATCTTGCACTTCCCCTCGAGCGACCAGAAGTTCGCTCGAGCATGAAAAGCAAGCTCCCAGAAGTTTCATGTTTTTGTAGACTGCTCAAGCAACAAGAGTTACGCTCAAGCAAGGACTTGAGTTTCATGCTCGAGCGACCGTCGAGCGAGCATCGAGCGAAAAAAGTAAGTAACCAGTACTTTTGCAGAGTTTACAAACCGCTCGAGCGACCACTCATATTTTGCATGTCCGCTCGAGCGAGACCCCTGTTTTCAGTAAGTTTTCTTAAATGTTTTCAAGTGTATTTTTGCATCTTCAGTTCATCATAGGCATTCCTAGGCCAAGATTAAGACACAATAATGAGGATAAAAGTAAAAACACACCAAGATAAGATAGTAATAAGTTAACAATTCGGGGTGTGTAATTCAGTACGTATTCGTTCTGTATCTGTGTAGGTCATGCACTGTGAGCCATTCAATCTGTCTGCTTTTGGAACTATCTGTGAGTAATAACTCTATAAAGTTATGTTTAACTTTATTTATTTTCTGGTGATATGAAATGATCAATTTTGTGAAATGCTATGTTTTGTATAAATGAATGATTGTCCAAATTTCTGAAATGTATTCGTGACATCCTTAGCATCATATGATACGCGTCACATTATGGGTCATCGGTATGCCTTTATTGCCGTCCCTTTATGGGTCATCAGAAACGTCTCTATGCACATGAGTCATCAGAATGCCTTTATGATCGTCCCTTTATGGGTCATCAAAAACGTCTCTGTGCGCATGAGTCATCAGAATGCCTTCATGGTCGTCCCTTCATGGGTTATCGGATTTGTTAACGCTAATGGATGTGTCACGCACTATAATGTGAAATGTATGGACTTTGAATATGAAGATGACTACATATATGAAACTGCTTCCGTTTTGACATCCAATCATTTGTAAGACTTTGTTTCTTTATGGACATCATTCAGTAAAACCTTTACTCTGTTATTATTTACTGGGTTTCCGCTCACTATGTATTATTTATGTATGTAGGTGAGCAGGCGCGTGACCAGGCCCAAGCTGTTGCCTGGGGAGTTAGGTCAACTAGCCAACGTGTCTCCTGTGGAGGTTCCCTTTTGAGATCCAATCAAGTTTTTGAGTCTCTAGGAATTTTGTACTTTTTGATGTTTATGTTTTATCTAAACATATTTTGGAAGTTCTGTATATGTGGCTTTGGTGATGTATGACTAATGTATTTATATAACGTCACTCCTATATATTGAAGTTTAAGTTTTTGTTCCATGTATGTTTGCACAGCTCTATGGACTATGATTATTTCTATATTTGCTTCCGTAGCCCCATATCATATGTTTTTCATGCCAGAGGCCTTTGGTAGTCCTAGGATTACTGACCAATTACGACGCTAAACCTACAGGGGCCAGTTTGGGTTGTGACATAACTATTGATGGTCTTGGGAGATTCTATTTGCACCCAAAAAATGTTAAGTATTCCTAATTTTTTAATACACTCTATTAAATTATTTAGGGTTATAATTTATTCTTAATGCACCCTATATTTTTTTCCTAAATTACCTTTCAAGGTACACCCAAATAATAAACAAATCAAAAACTCAAATTACACGGCTTAAAAAAATCCTTAAATAGATTTCTCATTACATATTCCTTTTGTACATATATAAAGAATGACAGCACCGACGAAGAAAATCATGAAACACATGTCTCTCTTCATCTCTACCTTGTCATTCTCTTCTAATATGATAATATTAATATATGATAATATCAAATAAATATATATACACATTCATAGATATGATTTGTAAACTATTTGTTGGACCATTTTAATATCTTATATTTATTTATTGGTTTATCTTTTTCATAATGGGGTTTTATTTCTTTGGTAACCTCTTGGTCATAAATGGAGGTTAAATAGAATCCATTTTCTTGTTTAATGGTCATTATTTTGGTGTAACCATTTTCTTGTTTAATGGTCATTATTTTTGGTGTAACTGTAAGGTCCTTATAGCCTATATATATAGTCTACTCTTTTCTATCTATAGAGATAAGCTATTTTCTATACAAGAGAGATTACTAGCAAAGAAGGGTGTTTTATTGGTGGAGCTTTGGGTTCACCATCTTGTGCAGAGTTGGCCTGAACCATACGACAAGTGGTCGGGCTGTTGTATCCTGAAGGGGACAAGTCATAGTATTGTGACTGTTGCATCGGTATTTGGATTCTTCCTACCGCAGCGGGCTTGATCTCCTTAAAGAAAACGAGATATCCGTGCCTCAGCCTGATCTATTTGTATCTCATTTTCTTTGCATCATTTATCAATAATATTGTTTAGTTTCTGGTATTTTCTCCAACAATTTTAAGGAGATCAAACATGGAACAAGTACCAGAAAAAACCAATGATGGAATTGGAGATCTCAACAAACCTTTCAAGTTCAAAGGAGTTCTTTTTTACCTTAGCCTTTTGAAAGTTGCATATGTTCTTACCGAAAAGAATCCGAACAAAATCCCAACCGAGGAGATGAATGATGAAGACTATGAGGCACATGAAGCAAAAGTGGCTTCCTATAATACAGATGAGTATAAATGCCGCTTTTATCTCTTAAATTGCCTTGCTGATCAATTTTATGATTACTATGACACCACTTACACTTCCGTAAAGAAAATTTGGAAAGCTTTACAGACTAAGTATGATACCGAAGAGGCTGGAGCAAAAAAGTACGCAGCTAGCCGGTTTTTCCGCTTCCAAATGGTAGATGGAAAATCCGTTGTGGAGCAAGCACAAGATTTCCAAATGATAGTTGCAGAAGTAAGATCTGAAGGCATCAAGATTGGTGACAACCTGGTATTTTCTCCAACACTATTTAAATCATTGTTGTTTTGGTAGTTTTTCAAAAATAACCCCATTAATGACCAATCCATACATGATTGTCACATTTGAATATATGCAACGATGGTATGCAAAAAGAAAAAGGCAAGAAAGAGAAAGAACAAAGAAAATCAGAGGCATGAAGATGTTTAGAAGATTGGCTTCATGAAAAATTAAGAAGCTTTCAATGAAAATACAATGGCACATATTGTGTTTTTTTTTTTTAAAGGCACATATTTTTTTTTTTTTTTTTTTTTTTTTTTTTTTGTAAGTAATAACACAATAACAAAAAATGATACTGATAATAATGGAGAGTTTTGGTGGAGTGAATTAAGGTTTTGAAGTGAGAAGAAAATAAAATAATTAAAACTTGGGGAAGAAAAAGAATACATATATAAGTTGTTTATGTGCAAATAGAATCATCGATGATCTTGTATATCACCATCCTCTCCTAAATCCAAAAATCTGGATAGGTCCACCAAGCCCAATCTTATGCCAAGAATGGTCCGTTCACTTGGTGCCTTAAGGATATGTGTCTGAAGCGAGTATGTGTTGGTTTATCTTTGTAGTTGAGGTTACTTTACAAATTTAAATTTTATAAATTTTATATGAAAAAAAATTAAATTAAAAAACATTCATTCTATTTGGTTTTCAGTTCTTAAAGGTAATTTGAGTTTTTTATTTTTCATATCTTGTTGTTTTTAGAATTTTTTATTTATATTTTAATCAATTTTTTTAATTTTTTATCTTTAAATGCACATAAGATAGATGTACTTAAAAAAATAAATTGTCAAAAAATCAATGAAGAAACAAAAATATATATATATATACTGAATTTTTATATATTTGGTGATTTTTTTAAAAAAAATTATAAATATTTTTAAATTAAGGGGTTGTTTGGGGTGTTCTAAATAAGTGCATTTTTTGACTTTTTATGAAATATGAATTGGGTATGAGTTGGGTTTGAAGTGATGTGATAGAGAGGTAATGTGACTTAAATAAGATGATGTGACTTAAATAGAATAATGAAGAAACAAAAATATATATATATATACTGAATTTTTATATATTTGGTGATTTTTTTAAAAAAAATTATAAATATTTTTAAATTAAGGGGTTGTTTGGGGTGTTCTAAATAAGTGCATTTTTTGATTTTTTATGAAATATGAATTGGGTATGAGTTGGGTTTGAAGTGATGTGATAGAGAGGTAATGTGACTTAAATAAGATGATGCGACTTAAATAGGATAATGACTTTTTAAATTTTTTTGAGGATGCCAAACTTGGCCTAAGAGAACCGAAAAAAAAAAATCAAATACTATTTTTAAAAACTGCTAACCAGAGCAATTTAAACTTTGCGAATCCCTATTTAATGGAATCATTAAAAAAAAAATTCAAGAATTTTTTATAGCTTGACCGTGTGGGATCACCACAGCTCAAGTAGTGTCGGCCGTGTGGGTTTCTCTTAATCCTGAAGAAAGGCTTGTCCATTGACCTTCCACTCAACTACCAAAGTTGTACCGTACAACATCGGCAGGGCACTTTCGTAATTAACGAAGTACTTGATGACTAGAATCATCGTTTCCCTCTTTCTGACATGTATAAAGTCTTGATTTGTTATTATTACAAACCCCAAGAAATTCTGAGAAGAGAAAGTCTGGTTGGAAAGAGGTCCAATTCCAGATGGGTATTGTGAGTTTTCTCAAGTTTGGTTTGAAGTGCTTCTTCGATTTTCTTGCTTGGTATGAATCATTTGTTTTCTCTGGCTACACTAAGAAACTGAAAGAAATTTTTTACATTATTTACTTACTTTATCTTTACTCCTCTGTTTTTTTATTTTCTCTTCGAATGTCCAACTTTCGCGTTAGATATACTAGCCGATCTTTGTGAAGTTGATTTTCAGCTTTATCTCTATGTTTTGTCCCAACCTCATTTGTATATACATATGTATGTGTATGTGTGTATACATATATATATGTACGTACGTACGTATGCATGTAGATACATATACATATAATCTTACGTATTCTTGTATTTTACTTGCAGGCCTCTCTTTGCTCTGGTCTGTCCTCTGTAAGCTCTCTCTCTCTCTCTCTAGCTTTTGATGACCAAAGAGTAAAGTTGTTAACTTTGTATGCTAATGCGATTCAGAAATTTAATATAAAATTCAGGGCATTCATAACTAAAATTTTTAGAGTCAGTAATTAAAAAAACAAAAACACAAATGAACATAACCAAACACCATAATAAATAATTAAAATAATTATCACAATAGCTCATCACATAATCAAATATAATAAAAATCACAGAAGTCATAATTAGGCATATCATATACACTTTTTTTCTTAGGTTTTTTTTTATAAAATTAATGAGATTTGGTGAGAAATAAACTGATTGGTTATAAAATTTTCAAAATACCGATATTGTCCATTAAACTAAAAAGGAATAAAAAATTTCACCTGTATTTCTCCCATGCTTACTTATATGTCTCGCATGCTTGTTTTTAACTTATCCTTCCAAACATGGCAGTGAGAATTTTTTTTTTTTTTTTCCCTGACCTGTTATAATCCTTGTTTTAATAGATTTTGCTTTGTTATATTTGTTGATCTGTTTGACAGATATGCCTCAGTTTGGGCAATCGAGAGTAATTCCAACTCGGACATGCGAAATTTGGTGGCATATTGGATTGTTTTCTCTTTGATTTCTCTCTTCGAGCTTGCTTTTGTGAAACTCATTGAATGGTAATTAATTATGCTACTATACTCTAGTTACATACCTCATTTTTCTTTCCTTATTTGTTTGAGAAATGATAATTGTGAATTTCAAAGTTTTCTTCACCTCCTACGTTCAAACATTGAACGAAAATTATAATCAGCTTGCTTGGTTAGGTATTTCAAAAAACACTTTTCAGAAAATTTTACATTTTTTGTTTTTCGTGTTCTTTTTGTTTTTACTGAATTTTTTTATTATTTTAAGCAATTTTTTTTTTACTTTTTAGACATAGCTAACATAAATATACCTAAAAAGTAAAAAAATTGTGAAAAAAACATTTTAAAAATTCACTAAATATCAAAAATACAAAAAAAAATACGAGAATTCAGTACATTTTTTATATTTTTATGTATTTTTTAATTTTTTAAAATATTTTTTTATAAATTTTTTACTCTTTAGATACATCTAAGTAAGGTGCATCTAAAAAAGTAAAAAAAAATGTTTAAAATTTTAAAAATATTCACTAAAACCAAAAAAATACGAAAACCAAACGACTCAATTTTCAAAAAACTTAATCCAAAAAATTCAAACCAAACACACTAAATGTAATCCTAGACAAATGAAGAGTTGCTAGGGTGAAAAAAGTCATATATAGGAGAACATGTCTAGTAGTCTGCCCTTATAGAGCAGGGGATCTCTATACCTAAATCCCTGGGAAATTCTATTTCCACACACTTGATTACGTCAGTGCACATTTTTTCTCAATACACACACCTATTAATTTGTTTATTAATTAATTTTCTCAATTCATACACTAAAAATTACAATTATATCCTTCAATCATAACTATTGTACACACACCATTTAACCCTCATTCCACGTACCTGTATCCCCTTTGTCCATCCTTCTCAATAACCTCAATTTCTTGGCTACCAGAGTTCCCAAACTAATTAATGCCTTCAATAGGTATGCCAGACAGCCCTTGAATTGCTTCATCCCAAAAATTGAAACTTCATTTTCACCAAACTGGGTTCGAATTAACCCATCATAGAGAACCGAACCGCCATTTTCATCGTTGAATTCACTGAACCAAGCTAAAACCGGGTCATCCTCGACCAGTGCACTCTCAACACATCCAAACAAACTGTAATTCTTGCAGGAAAGTTGGTTTGGATCTCGATTTTCACCACCATTTCCACCAAACAGACTTTGAACCTCCACCTCAGTCACTGCCGCCAGATTGTGTTGCGATTTAGGTAGATCCACCACCGCAGCACCAACTCTCGCCACTGCCTTCATGAGCCCTAAAAATGTAAGAAGTGACAAACAATGAAAAAACTATGACCACTAGATAAACACATGTCAGTCTACATTTTTTTCGATTTACAGTGCATTAGAGTTTTTGTACACCTTTTATTTAATTGATTTTTCACAAAAAAAATACAAGAAGTTATCTCCTGAAGTAGCTGTACAAGTAGAAGAGGAGAACTAAGCATAAAGGTTACATACTACAGAGCTACCGGAAACATTTTCAGATGAAATCAGTGTATTAAGATTTTTTTTGTTTTAAAAGGATGTGTACAGAGAATTCTGGTATAATATTATGGATGTGTTTTGATATCTATTATAGTAATTTTGTTTTAGGACACAATTGTCATTGAAATAAAATTTCATTAAATGTGTGTATATGTGTGGAAATAGAATTTCCCTAAATCCCTGGCTTGATGTCCCTAGTCCCCGATACATTTCTAATCATTCCTCAAGATTTTTGTATTTTGAGATTTTCAACTTAAATTCCCGTCCTCAATACACTTCCAGCCACACGATCATGTCTCAAGTTTCCTATAGTTCAAGTTTTCTACCTCGGGGATCCTTGGCCTATATTTGTTTATCCGTTGTTGTGTGCTCTTAAATGGAAATAATTTATCTGTGTTTTGCATCTTTTTTCTAGAATTGTTCGATTTATGTAACCAGATTTCATTATTAAGACGGTAGATTGTGCTTTCTAATTCCCTTCTTTGTGCGTGTCAGGCTTCCATTCTGGCCTTACATGAAGCTAATGGCCATTTGTTGGTTGGGGATTCCCAATTTTAATGGCGCTTGTTATGTTTACGACTGCCTGATTCGTTCATTCTTATCTGTGAATCTACAAGGAGTTATCAAACGCTTCATTAAGCACAAGGATGACCGACCTCTCAATGCAGAAAGCTTTCTGGCTGTGGCAGAGAGGTACGTTAAAGAGAATGGATCAGAAGAGTTGAAGAAACTCATTGATAGATCAAGGCATACGAAACCTAATGTTGACGAGGAAGAAATAAAGGCAGTAACAAATACAGAGGAAAAAGAAACAGCCACAGCAATCCAGGTAAAGTTTCTTATGCTGCTCTTAAAAACTATGAATTTTTTATGTATCTGTTGTTAAATTTCAGTGGGTCGCTACTAGGGGTAATATCCAATGTTGCGTGGACTCTTCTATTCCCATATAGTGTACCTCTATCTATTGGATATGACAAGGGGAGGGGGTATGGGATACATGTCCCATCCCCATATCCAAACTATATGCTTGAATTATCTAATTTTAACAATGTTTGAAGTAAAAGAAGCTCACAATTTATAGTAACCAAAATTCCTTGCCTCTTATTAATGGGAGATAGAAACCCTTCCCCCTTCCCTAAATTTCAATTGCATTACATTCCAAAATATCTTATGTCAGGATATAATACAATATACAATATACAATATACAATATACAATATATAATATATTTTAATGTTTAGGGCATATCCATGTACTCATTGAATTTTGGATACACATCTCAAAAATCTAAGATTGTGGATTTAGGGAGTTTTGGCATTTGAATACATACCCACATCTGATGGGTATGATTGAGTTTAACAAAGGATTTGTTTGTGCAACAATGATTGAAGTGTTGGAACACGATTTTATTTAATGTTACCTACAACGTGGATTGTTCTGGTACATGGAACGGGAACAGAAACGCGGTACGCCATATGCCCTAAAATGTGGTACGATTGGGGTATACTTGTATATATTATACTTAAGAATTAAAGGTACTTCTAGAGTAATTTTTTTTCGACTATTAGACATCCAATAAAATGTAATATTTTCTATGAGCATTATGACCCATTTTTTGATGATTTTGTTTTGTCAAAACTTTACTCACCTTAGATTTTAGTTCATTATATTTGATTTTTTTTCTCCTAAGGTAACATTTAAGGACATATATTGAAAAAAAACTTTTGGGATTGCTTTGGATCAAAATTTACCGTTTGGAAATGGAAGTGTTTCGGAACGTATATACCAATATGTAATTCACTAGGGTATTAGCGTTTTCTAGTAACATTGTAATCCTCTATGAACCATCTTTTGTGTTAGACATTCAAAGAGCCTAATGTTGCCAAGGAGGATGCTAAAGCAGTGGATCCAACAGAGAAAATTCTGTCAGATTCAACACAATGGGTAAGGTTTACTATGTTATTTTCTATCATATTTTATATTTTTATTTAAAGACAACCACTGATGAACCATCTTTTTTTCTTTTCCAGTTCAAATTCGAAGAGCCTTATGTTGCTAACAAAAATGCCAAAGCAGGGGAACTAAACGAGAAAAATCCCGCAGCTGCAACAGAACAGGTAATGTCTCCTATTGTATTTTTCGTTATATTTCGGTACCTTATGTGCTGCAATTTTCCATTCACTTTTTTGTTCATATGTTCAACCCATTTCTCCTATAGTTGGTTTTTTGTTGGTTTAGTTGTACTACTATATTAACGTGCACTATCTTTCTATAGTATTCATCGTGGTTGTTAGAATTGTGTGATTCACGATTCGATTCATATGATTCAATATGAGTTTCAACCAAAATGGTTCGAATAATGTTGTTGAAGAGTGAATGAAACAATTCAATTTTTGATTTGCTATGGCTCACTACGATTCAGTTCTGTTTTTTGGTTTTGTTTGGCATAATGCAAGAAACGATGTCATTTTAAGGAAAGCAAGATCAGCAGCAGGAATACTTGGTAATCAGCCTCTGGTAATTACTTATTGCAGGTTAACTGTGTAGAGCTAAATCTTATTCAAACGGAAAAGAAAACAGTTGCAGCAAGCGAAATCATAGAAAAGATGGTGACACAAGACGTAAGAGAGAACAAAGTCGTGAAGGTACCTGCACCGGCAGCTGGTGGTGGAGAGAACAAAGTCACGGAGATGCCTGCTTCAGAGTATGTTCAGAGAGAGTGGACAGCATGTCAGTTGACAACTATGTGCGAGAAAAACTTTCAGTCTCATCTTCAAGGGAGAAAACACAAGGCGGAGTTTGCAGCAGAGGACAAAGAAATCCAGGTAAAGTTTCTTAATGCTGCTGCTCAAATCCATGAGTTTTATCTGTTTCTGTTGTGAAATTTCAGTGGGTTGCTACTGTTAGTCTTGCTTAGATTGAGGGGAGAGACCCACTCCTCCATTGGGGTTAGAATTTGGAAAGAGGAAAAATTCATTGTCATTTTTATGGAAAATTACACTAACCTCCCCTGAGATTTGGAGAAAATACAACAAGCCCCACAGTTTTGGCATAATTACACTGGTCTCTCTTTGATTAAGATTAAATGGACCAAAACTAATACAGATGGTGTAAAAAGTCAAAGATAAACAAAGAAAAATACACATTTCAATGTAAAAGGATGACAATATTTTTTCATCCATATGACTAATGAAATATTAATGAAAATGGGGTTAAGTGTCGTGTGAATTAAAATCTTAAGGAAAACTAAATGTAATTATGTTAAAATTGTGGGACTTGCTGTATTTTATCCAAACCTCGTGTAATTTGCCCTTGTTTTTATGCATCAAATTCTACTTAGAGGACACAGGCAAACTCCTTCAATGGGTTAAAATCTGGTAACCAGGAAATCCATGTAGGAGTGATTTTAATTCTTGTGGGCAGCACTATATGATATACTAATGAGCTTGCACTAGAAGGTTTTTATATTTATAGGCTCCGTTTGTTTTGACGTAAAATATTTTACACAAAAAAATATTTTTCTTGTAAATTGATTTTACACAATTTTTTTTTTCTTGGCGTTTGGTTGACACTTGAAACAAAAACATTTTATTGCCTAAAAAGATAAATTTTGATTCAATAAAGTGTCATTTATGACTTTTTATTGAGCTAATATTTATTTGAAAAGGCTAAATGTGTTGAAAAGGTAGTGAGTGAGAGTCAACTTTGTAAAAATTGACTTACGGAATTTTGAAAGGTAAGTCATTTTTGAGAAAATGATGCAAAAATATTTTACTTGCTTTTTGTTCAATCAAACAACGGAAAATGAGTAAAATATTTTTGATAAAATCATTTTATGTTGAAACAAACGGAGCCTTAGTTTCTTACCTCATTTGAAATTGGTTATAAACAGTGTTATATGAACTCTCACTCTTCTATTCCCCAAGTATACCTATATGGGATATAAGTTTGACCTCCATGTCCAAATTGGTTATATGAATTTAATTATCTAATTTTTAACAAGGAAAACTCTATTCATACAGAAAATTTATACAAAAAAATCACAAGAATGATGTGGCAATGTCATTTTTGTAAATAAAAGTTTTTTTGGGTATTTTGTTTTAAAGTTCATGGTCTATATTGAGTCACATCATTCTGTAAGAAAATTCTATATGAATTTTCTGTTTGTATATCATTACTTCTCTACCAATGTCTGAGGAAAAAGCAGCTAACATTTGATAATAAAGAAAATTTTATAGTCTCTCACATTTGTAGGAGGATAGAAATCCTTCTTCCCCTACCCCAAATCCCATTTAAGTCAAATTAACATTTTTAAATAATATCATCGTACGTCAGGATATTATACTATATACAATGTATTTAAAAGTTTAGGACATATCAGCATATTCATATTCATCTTTTGGATACACATCTCAAAAATCTAAAACCAAGGATTAGGAGGTTAGACATTTGACACATACCCGACACTGATAATCATACCCCATTTGCTATTTGGCAACAATGTCATAACTACAAGGATAGCAAGCCCAGCAAGCATACATGGTAATCAACTTCCGCTAACTACTTATTGCAGGTTAAGTGTGTAGTAGAGCCAAATCTTGCTCAAACTGAGAAGAAAATGGTTGCAGCTAGGGGAATTAAAGAGCAGGGTAAGTGTGTAGAAGATCCAAATCTTGCTCAAACTGCGAAGAAAACAGTTGCATCTATTGAAATTAAAGGAAAGACAGTGACAGCAGCCGTAAGAGAGAACAAAATCGTGGAGGTGCCTGCTGTGACATCTGGTGGCGGGGGGAACAAAGATGTGGAGAGACCTGCTTTGGAGAACGTTCAGAAAGAGTGGACCTGTGCCATATGTCAGGTGACGACCTCGTGTGAGGCAAACTTGATGTCTCATCTTTATGGGAGAAAACACAGGGCTACGTGTGCAGAGCTGCAGGCAAGCAAGCAAGCAAACAAAAACAAGGGCTGCTCATCTTCGACAGTCAATCAGGAGCAGCCAAAAAAGCCCAATAACCAGAATAAAAGTAAGAAACAAGAGGACAAGGTGCAAGTGAACTGGACTAGTGAGCAATACAGACAGAAAGAAGTAAAGAACACTACTGGTTATGGGGTGAATAATAATTCTCAATTATGGTGCATCATCTGTAATGTCAAGTGCCATAGTGAGGTTGATGTGGCTTCTCATCTTAAAGGGAAGAGGCACTTGTCCCAGGTTCAACAGATGTTGGATTCTGTAGGTGGATGGCATTAATAGGATTATGGAGGTAGTTTAGTATATCATTTCTACCTGATTTTTTTGTGTGTTCTATGGTTAGGTAGGGATGGGATTGTACTAAACTTGTCATGGTCCGGTGAACAGAGTCCCTTTCTAATAATGTACTTTATTTTACTGGTGATTGTGGTTTTTAGTTCATCATGGTAGCTTTAGTACAAAAAATGGAGATGTCTGTCTTTCGATACAACTTTAGGCTATATAGAATTAATAGTGGTGGGTGCAAACACGGTATGTCTATAATTGTAGATCTAAACTTTTTGATGATTTAATGAATGAAAAAGGTTCAATTTGAAAATTGTTTACAATAGTTTTAGCAATTAATAATTTCATGTCAATTATTGAAAAAAAGAAAAAAGAAATAAGAAAAAAAAAAGAAGTGACTGAAACTTAAAGTTGTAAGTTGTGTGCTTTATATAATACAACAGTACAAGTGATCGATGAAGTTTTGCAGCAAGCCAGTTGTACTTTTCTCTTGTGATTTATACACAATTAATCAGGTTTTCATGTGCCTAGGTTTTGGATGATAAAGAACTCTTGTAGGGTATTATGGTGAATAATGAGTGCTCATCCAAGGAAAATTGACCATTCCTTTCCCTTCTTTTTTTTTTTTGTTTTGATAAATATCCTTTCCCTTTCTAACTAACGGGATCAAAGTCAGATCTGATTAGGTTTATGGGCTAGTTCACTTTATCATTAGGAAAATTGACCATCTCTCTCTCTCTCTCTCTCAGACACACGGGTGCACACAGTAGAAAAAAGGAAAATTGAAGATAAGAACACCAATAGTGGATACAATTGGATGGCCTCCATATTATTTTATCGAAAGGGTTTCACACAATACACACGAGTTCCAAAATAGGTAACCATTAACCAAACTGTCTACTTTTGGGAAGTTGGCATTGCCAGCGATACTCCAGAGCCACCAGGCAAATCCTTCCATTGTTGAGTCACAGTCTTGACCTGAGTGTAAAAATGAACTCCACCCTTGCCTGCAAATCAAAGGAAGCCGACTTCAAAAACCTACTAGTATCTGACATTCTGAACCAATTTATATAACTGATAACGTGTGCAAGTGCGCACATGATTATTTTTCCGAGTAAACTTTTGGAGGAAGATATTTTACCGTAGAAATTCAGATCGCCTGCAAAAGATGCCTTTGAGCCAGTAAATGAGAAAAAGGCTAGAGGAACTGGAATAGGAACATTGATGCCGACCTGAGCCATATTTGGTTAATGTCAGAGGTTTACACACAAATCCAATCATAAATGACATTTTTCTTCAGTAAAATTATGTCTAGGATATCGCGCGGGGGGGAGACGTAAAAGTAAAATACAAAATTGGACAGGACCCTCTCACTTGAGGTGGGTGTTTCCCACCTTTTTGTGGGTCCCACAGCTCTGTAGAGGGTTAGTGTCCAATTCTGTGATTAGTTTTTGTGCAAGTAGAAGAACTAAAAGGAAAAAGAAAAAGAAAAAGAAAAAACAAACACGTCTAGTTATTTGTGGAACTACTTATCTTTGTCAATATCTTCCATACTCGTAGATAAATAGGCCAAATGCAGTGCAAATATATCAAATTATCATTTCATTTTTAAGGTTCAATCTCCATTTTGTATTCATATGCTTGTAAACTAGACCAAGGACATGATAGAAAGTGCTTAATACCTGCCCAGCCTCAATCTCATTCTGGAATTTCCTCGCAACTACACCAGATGTGGTGAAAATAGCAGCTCCATTGCCATATCTACAAGAGGATAACTCAAACATATGATGATACAATAGTTTGATAATGAAAATTGAGGTGCAAAGATGAGTTATGATAAAGTACTTGTTTTTGTTAACGATGTTTATGGCCTCTTCTAAGCTGTCAGCCTGGACAAATTATGTCTAGGATATCGCGCGGGGGGGAGACGTAAAAGTAAAATACAAAATCGGACAGGACCCTCTCACCTGAGGTGGTGTTTCCCACCTTTTTGTGGGTCCCACAGCTCTATAGAGGGTTAGTGTCCAATTCTGTGATTAGTTTTTGTGCAAGTAGAAGAACTAAAAGGAAAAAGAAAAAGAAAAAACAAACACGTCTAGTTATTTGTGGAACTACTTATCTTAGTCAATATCTTCCATACTCGTAGATAAATAGGCCAAATGCAGTGCAAATATATCAAATTATCATTTCATTTTTAAGGTTCAATCTCCATTTTGTATTCATATGCTTGTAAACTAGACCAAGGACATGATAGAAAGTGCTTAATACCTGCCCAGCCTCAATCTCATTCTGGAATTTCCTCGCAACTACACCAGATGTGGTGAAAATAGCAGCTCCATTGCCATATCTACAAGAGGATAACTCAAACATATGATGATACAATAGTTTGATAATGAAAATTGAGGTGCAAAGATGAGTTATGATAAAGTACTTGTTTTTGTTAACGATGTTTATGGCCTCTTCTAAGCTGTCAGCCTGGACATGGGGAACATGAATATTTATCTCAGTAAATCTCCGTTATAAGCATAAACAATTTGGTTACAAGAGAAGCAAGAGGGATATTATTGACAAACCTTCATGCAAAGAAGAACTGGGCCAAAGATTTCCTCCTGTGTCAAACCCAGATAGAAAATTTTGACAGTCAAACCTCTTCTTGCAGCAAAAATTAAAGATAATCCAAGTTACACTCCAAAGAACAAAAATAAGTCCTTCAAAACAAGAATATAAGATACCTTGTAACATTCCATATCGGGAGTGACATCAGACAAGATGGTGGGACCGATAAAGTTCCCTTGCTCATATCCTGGAACCTATTTGTCATCCATGAAAAATATTTACTTTGATTAGATAATTATCACATTTCTTAACCATAGTGCATATTGGTCTACCAACTAGCTCGTTAACTTGAAATGAGGTCCATCTAGTCAATCTAAACATAGCTTGTTTGGCCAATAAGGCAACAAAATACAGTCAACTACTAGGCATTTGCTCTTCTTTGGTGGTGTTGGTGGTTGGTAGGGGGGAGAATCAATGTAAGATTCAGTTGACCAACAAGTTGAAGGGCAAATATGAAGTTCTACATGGAGCATCCTTTGGCTCTTATATAATCATGTTTAGAGTTAATCTAAACTTCATTAGTAATTTTTATGTATCTTATGTTAGAATATATATATTTTCTCTCTCATAAATGGGCATGCAGGATCATGCATCTATTTATATGGATAGATAGATCAACTTGTAGTCCTACATCACAGCTACAACATTCTCACGGTTAGTCAAGGACCTATTAAAAAAAATTTATATATGCACGTGTTAGTCAATGACCTGGTTGGCCAATTTCGAGAAGGAAATTGATGCAAAAAATTGTGGAACAAGTTTACCTTTATCAATAACAGTAGCACAAGATTATACATTTAAATTATTTTCATTTCTTTTCTACCAGTCATGCAGTGTTGAGAGCAACAGAGATTTCCATCTCATACATAAATCCTCTTCCAGTGACTCTTAATTTCTTATTGCAAGAAAATGATGGCTCATATAGATTAATGTGTGCATACCTTTGTGTGGAAGGGGAGGGTGCAGAACATTTGTAGTAAAATCTATTTTAAACACAGTTTGGAAAATACAAACTTAACCAGCTCAATATTATTATTTATACTTTCTCATTGTTATCCAAATTTCATTATCTACATTTCTAGTAGACAGCTGAACTGTCGACATGAGGAGAATATTGAATAAGTAATAAAAACAAATCATCAAACCATTAATAAGTCAGCAGAATCAGGCAATGCATACAAGTGGCGGGATATGAAAGATATAAACACATACTCTAATATTTCTCCCATCAAGCAATAGTCTGGCACCACCCTCAATGCCACTTTGAATCAATTTGTATATCCGTTCCTTTGCCTGTGAAAATTTCAAAGAAAACATACAATTACAAAGATTTCAAACCAAATCGATACCATGTAAAACATGAGAAGAGTGGACACTTTCGTTGATATGTCCCGCACAACAATTAAAAGTTAATGGTCTCCTTGCGCAACTCATTATTTTTTTAACCAAACTAGCCGTACAGGCATAATGATAAAGTTCTGAATCATGTACGCACCTGTTTGCTAATCACTGGACCAAGGTCTGCATCAGGTTCCATTCCAGCACTTACTTTAAGTGCTTTAGCACGCTCCACTAGCTTATCTTCCCTGAGACGGTTTTAACAGATTTCTATATTAGTATAACAAAGGTATCTCATAACTCTTATAAAACTAAATAAGCACCGTTACACATTCAGCCATTTAAAACTGAAAAATCCTTTTAAAATATGTTAGGGAAGAGGATCTCTTTATGTAGCATGAATAGCAAGACTAAGAAACTTAAATCTTATATTATCACTGTCCTTTACTGAAACTTTCTATTGAGAAGACAAGGTCCTTTTGCTTGATTGCAGGTTTCTGTTGAGAATGCCAGGTCCTTGTAGTTATGAAGAATTATCATCATAGTGATGCCCCTCATATCCAGTTAAGGGTGCACTGAAGCGCAACAGGCTGAAATTGTTTGTGCCTCATTATTTAATTCAAATCCGTTAGAAATGGAATTTTTAAACTTGGTGACACCGCTAATGCTCACAACTTTACTGGGGAAAGCTTTAGCAAGCCTAAACACTTTCTCCCACAATTTTTAATTACAACAGAAGCTCCTTGTTACTTTGAGAAGCCACCTATTAGGTTTTTAGAGTAAAAAATATGCGATATGTTAAAAGGCTACAACATTATAACAAGGTTTCTAAAAATGAGGAAGGTGTCGCTTCAGAGATATTTACCAGATCTCTAATGAGTAATGAAATGGAGCTCTCTAATGCATCTGGAAATGGAGATCAAGATAGCCTTCTAGGAGAGCAGCAATAGATAAGTAGCACTTGTAATGTGACTAAAATCACATGCTGTAACATTTGGAAAAATGACTGCAAAACAGCTAGATCTTGCTGTTGAATAGTTTGATATACATTGTTGTGCCATTTCCTAGCAACTTAAATTTTTGGGACAGTCAGTAACTTAACATGGTATCCCCATTTGCATTTGGTCCCCATTTGCATTCTTTCTTCTCTCGCTTGCATTGAAAAATCTCTATGTTTGTTTGTTTGCATCCCCATGTGCAAGAAAGACGAGGTTGCATGTGAGGAAAGCTGTTGAATAACTTGATATACATTGTTAGATCCATTTCCTAACAGTTTTAAGTTTTGGGGACAATTGGTAACCTAACACTTCCAATACAAGAGTGGTCTTCAAGGCAGAATCAGAGACGCAGCAAGTTCCATGCAGTCCACTACCGGATTTGCCATTTTCATGTTATGTGTGCGTCAGCATGTAAATGGATTGTGGTGTAACTATGATCACTACTTTGTTAATAAACAGCTCTGAGCTCTCCAGTAATTGTTACCTTAATATAGATAAAGAGATCAACCTTTTGTAGTCTCATAGCTAAATTGCAACATAGTGCCAGGGTCCACATTGCTGAGGGCAAATGCAGATTCAGATGGCTATCTTGATTAGTTTTCTCTTGATGCAATGTATTAGGTTTTTATTCTTGGCAATCCCATTTGACAAAACTCCTTTCCGTTGTACTTATTTTCGCACTTTCTATTTCAGTAAGGCTATGAGTTTTTAGATGCGAATCCAACCCGAATTGTGCCTTGCAAAGAAGTTTGTGATGTTAATACTTTTAAAATTGCCACTTCGCTGATTATGACGGGGATCCAGCTGCCCAGTCAGCTCGCAGGGGTCCAAGGGGCAGCTCCCCTTGGCGGGTCCGGGGCAGCGCCATGGCGGGGTCGAGAGGCAGCGCCCCCGAAGCAAAATGCAAAATTGCATTCGAAGTTGCTGTCCACCCTTGCTCGCTCGAGCGAAGGCTGCGTCTGGCAAAAAACCTGAAAGAGATGAATGTACGCTCGAGCGAAGGGTGCGTGGCTCGAGCGAAACCACTTATGGAAAACACGCGTTTTTGGTTCCTCGCTTAAGTCTTCCTCGAGCGAGAGAGTCTTCGCTCGAGTGAGCTTCGCAGTCCCAGATTTCTATAAGTATCTGTTTTAGTTCAAAACTAGGATTACTTCTCCAGATCTTCTTTTGGATATTAAGGTTTATCCCTGGAGATATTTTGCTAATTTTCTTTGATATTTTGATTAAGTATTCAACTCATGGTTTAAAGAGTATACATCAAAGGATTATTTGTTTGTTCTACACAAAAAAGAAAGTTGTTCTTCGGTGGATTCTGAAAAATTCGATCCTGAAGCTTTGGTGGATTCCCAAGTGGCTCATCGTCAAGACAATTCCGAGGTGAAGACGGGTTGGAAGAGGCACATAGAGGTTGGTTCAATTCGGGCGTGGATTCACTTAGTAATTGAGAGTATACCTGTGTAATTCATTTATATCTTCTTAGTAGATTGTTTTGTGACTGTTGTCCGTGGGTTTTTTTTTCACAATTGGAGGTGTCCAATTGTGATTTTTTCACGTAAAATCGTTGTGTCGATTTGTCTTGATTGTTTGATTGGGATTGTTGTTTACTGCTTAAAATTGATACATAATCACAAATCAACATCTAGGGGATTTCTAGATTTTTCAATTGGTATCAGAGCAAGTCGTTCTATTTTGTTTTTAAAAAAAAAAATTCTTTTAGAACGAGATCTTGTTTGATTTGTGATAATGGATTCAATACGTGAGGGAAATTCTATGGTTCGACCACCCCTACTTGACGAATCCAATTATTCTTTTTGAAAAGCTCGGATGAGATTGTTTTTGAAATCTATAGATGAAAAAGTTTGGTAATCTGTCATGAATGGGTGGATCGAACCAACAATTACCGTTGATGGAGTATCTTTCCCCAAACCAATTGATAAGTGGGACACAATTGATTACCAAAATAGTAGCTGGAATAGTAAAGCTATCAATTCTCTCTATTGCCCTATCACACCTGAAGAGTTTAGTCGTATTTGCAATTGTGAAGTCGCAAAAGAGACTTGGGATATCTTACAAACTATTCATAAGGACACTCCTTCTATTAAACGCTCAAAACTTCAAAGACTCACATCTAGTTTCGAAACCTTTCAATGAAAGATAGTGAGACCTTTGATGAATTTTATGCGAAGTTGAGTGACATTGTAAATTCCAGCTTCAATTTAGGTGAAAAAAATACCAGAATCCAAAGTTGTGGGAAAAATTTTGAGATCCTTGCCCGATCGGTTCCAACCAAAAGTTACGGCTATTGAGGAGGCTCAAGATGTTGACAACCTCAAGCTGGATCACTTGGTTGGAAATCTCTAAACTTATAAGGCACATAGGTATTCGCGACCATGTATTTGCGACAAAACCGGCGACTAAAATATTTAGTCGGGGAAAGTGAAAATTCGACATTTGGCGACTAAAAAAGGATTTTTGGCGACTAAAAATTTAGTCGCCAAAGGTGTGTTTTCT